GAAGCTGAGAATGTGATGAAATTCATGAATGAAACCACAGCTCAGTGGAGGAATCTCTCAGTTGAAGTACGGAGTGTGAGGAGCATGCTGGAGGAAGTGATCTCTAACTGGGATCGCTATGGCAACACAGTGGCTAGTCTTCAAGCCTGGCTAGAGGATGCTGAAAAAATGCTAAGTCAATCAGAAACTGCCAAAAAGGTAAGACTGTCTCATACAAAAGGAAAATACAGGAATTTAGAAGTAAAAGGCTTCTTTCTACGTATGGTACTGGGAATTGAACCCAGGAGCGCTCTACCTCTAAGCTAGATTCCCCAGCCCTTTTTATTTGAAGATAAGGATTTCACTAAGTTGCCTAGGATGATCTTGAACTTGTGATCCTCCTATATCAGCTCAGGAGTTGCTGGGATTTCACATGTGCTTTGCTATGCCAGGCTATGAGAGACAGTTTTTGTAGCATAATTCACTAAGGAGTGTTATATATTTGCAAGTTTGACTCAAGAATTCTCACTTTGCCCTAAAAGTTTCACTTTCTGGTTAGTAAATTATTGTAGACCAATAAATACTGGTTAATTAAAGTTCAGTTAAAACAGTCCCCAACCTGGTCAGTTTAACATATGACTTTTATATTCAGATGACCAATAAATGGATCCAGCAGGATCCCCTGAGTGCCAATAGCCCTGTGCTCAGCAAGCTCTGTATGTGGAGGGGAATATCTTAGACACCACTCTTGGTGGATTTTCTAATTTAACAGAGGTTGAAAACAACACTGAGTAACATAGAACTGAATCTGTGAGGTAGCATACACCATCAAGCAGCTGGACCACCAGATTTTTAACTCTATTTAGAGATTCAGTTCTGGACTTCATCAACCCTCAATCTATATAGAAGTGATTTCTTTTTTCACTGGTTACAAGTGTATATGTGTGTGCACATGGGGGGGGGTTACTATTTCATTTGAATGTCATTTATATATAAATATCAATGGACTGAGTTATGTGTATAGATCTTAAAATGGAAACCTGATATTTTCAATGAAATATCAATGTATATGTAAAAGATTAAAATGTTGGTCTTACATATGATACATACATTAAGATTAATTACTGCTACCAGTTGCAGTGGCACGTGCCTAAAAATCTCAGGTAATTGGGAGGCTGAGGCAGGAGAACCAGGAGTTCAAGGTCAGATTGAGCAATGTGATAAGATCCTATCTCAAAAAAAAAAAAAAAAAGAATAAATTAGTGCTTGCCACTCAAGATTGGATCATCTGTTATTGTTTGCACAAGTAAATCTATTGTTTTTAAGTGTTTTACCATTTTTATTCATATGAATTAAACATTTTTTATATCTACACAAGACATAACTAAGTACCCACACAGATTTTAACTTTTCTGATCAGACAAGCAGTGCCCTGGTAGTTGTCATATGTGTTAATTTGATCCAAAGAATGTAACCACCAGAAACAGAAATGTTCTCATCTATTTATGTAGAAAAATCCTCCCACACATGGCTTATGAAATGAAGTTTGAATTTCCCTTGGTTTTTACTGTGATGTATATGTGTGTGCATATGTGAACACATGCATTTAATTTGAAATGAGTTTGAAATATTCTTATTTGCTTAAGGCTGCAAATTTGGCAATAAATCAGCTTCAAAGGATGTTATTGTATTAAATGTTCTTGATGCAAATATTTAATTTAGAAATGTTTCAATTGATGTTTATCCCCATAATTATTAATTATCTTAATATTATATATATGTGTGTGTGTATACACACACACACACACATATTTTTAAATAAAAATAACAATTCAAAAATATATTTAAAAAATTTAAGAAAGCTGTTTATTTCCCTGTTATATATTATGCTTCTTACATTCCCTGGCACTAGTGTTTCCTTGTTTGAATGCTATGCATAATAAACCTCTGATGCTTACAGAAATTTATTCATTGTTTATTCAACTGCAAAATGGAAATGAAAAAGAATCACCATATTCTGTTTCTTTTTCAGCAAAAGAGAGAGCATAACTATTCCTATAAAAGATACTAAGGGCAGGGAAAAGTGGCATGTACCCATAGTCCCAGCTAATTGGGAGGCTGAAGCAGGAGGATCTCTTGAGTCCAGGAGTTCGGGGCTAGCCAGAGTAACATAGCAAGGCCCCATCTCCAAAGACAATTTAAAAATCAATAAAAGAGACTTGGTGCTTCTAGTTCATATTTTGAAATTTTATTTAAAATTTGTACTTTGAGGGGCTGGGAATGTGCGGCCCAGGTTCAATCCTCAGCACCACATACAAACAAAGATGTTGTGTCTGCCAAAATCTAAAAAATAAATATTAGAAAAATTCTCTCTCTCTCTCTTTCACACTCTTGCTCTTTTAAAAAAAAAAATTGAATTTTGAAAGAGATTTAAGGCTTAAAATTTACACACACTTTAGAATGCAGATATTTCATAGTCTGGTCACTTTTATATCTGTTACTAATATTTGATTTATGGCTTACAATATAACATATTCTTTGTTGTTTAGGATTTTTTTCGAAATTTGCCTCATTGGATTCAGCAGCACACCGCCATGAATGATGCCGGCAATTTTCTAATTGAAACTTGTGATGAGATGGTTTCCCGTGACCTGAAGCAGCAATTACTACTGCTCAATGGGAGGTGGAGGGACTTGTTTATGGAAGTCAAGCAAGTACGTTTCAAATCTGTACTCACTTCAAACGTGTCTGTGTTGTAAATGTGGTGATAAGCAATCTGTTTAGAGGCGATTTTACTTTTATAGCATGAGCTTATTGAGACAGAATAATGACGTGTTTAGAACCAATATATGATAGAGTTGATTATTCCTTCTTTTCCATTTGTAATAGCGGAATGTCACAGAAGTCTAGAGTTTGATTAAGGATTATGTTAACATATGGAGCCTACTTGTATGGAATGATTCACTTTCAAATCATACTTCTGCATTGCTATGCTGGTTCCTTTTCTCCTTTCAAAGTAATTGGACTTGCTTCAAACCTATCTAAAATAAGAATCAGGAATTAGAGGCTCTTACCATATAACAATCCAAGAGCATAAGAGATTATGTCAAAGTGCAGGTTGAGTTACAGCTTAATGGCTTTCAAATGCTCTCCCCCTCCTTTCTTCACAGTATGCTCGAGCAGATGAGATGGACAGAATGAAGAAAGAATATACAGACTGTGTTACCACCCTCTCTGTTTTCACAACTGAAGCCCATAGGAAGTTTTCAGAGCCCTTCGACGTCTCTTTTCTTAACATCAAGTTGTTA